ACTCAGTGGAGAATCGCACCCAACCAAATTTGAACCAAAAATCATACAAAGAACGGACTATTAGAAAAGAAGAACGGGAGTGGAGAGAGGGCTTAGACAAAAAGACGGCGTCCTGTCACCCAGCGCCCCTCCCATTCCTCTATACTGCCGGTGCCCCCCCCCCCCCCGCTTTAGGACCCACCCTACGCCACATAATGCTAGTCGAGACAACACAGCGACTGCTGACGAATATGCAACAAGATGTTGTATTGCCCTTTAAGTGAAAGCACCTGGATCGGTCGGTCGAACTTTAAATTTTGTTTGTGTTACTTTTTTTGCTTTTTTTCCCTCTTTGGGCTGCTTTAATACTATTTTTTGTATTCATTATACATTTTTGTCTTTTAAAAAACTGTTTAAAAAAATGTCGACCGTAGTTTTTGAGATTTTTTGTGGTCGGTCGCAAATGGCAACACAACAACTTTTTTTGTAAAGCCTTATTGTAAACCGCATACATGTACATAATCAAGAATGTCTCTCTACAAGGAATGTGAATGTACACCTCTCCGATCGTCTTTTCTGTTCTTCTCATTTTCCTATGGCCATGGTACATAATCCAATACTTCTTTAGAATCCAATTTGAATCTCAAATTTCTACGGTGCCAAGAAAACCCTTTCAAGTTGAAAGAATGCGCCTCTGGCGTTCTATTGTCGGGAAAGAGGTTCGTGTCTGTGCTCATTCATCGTATGGAGAGTGTTGATGAGCATTGGCGTAGACAGAAGGGGCACGGGGCACTGGCCCCTTCCTCCCCCTCATGGAATGACACAATAATGGAAAAGGGGAGTTAAAGGAGGCAACGTAAAAATAAGATGATTCATTCCCTTCTTAATCCTCAAGCCAAAACCAACCCTAACTAGCCATTTCGCATGTCATTCACCTAGTGAGATAGGAACCCCCCCCCCACGCCCTCTCCCCTCTGCCCTCCCCCTCCGCTCTCCCACCCCCCTCAATAATAACATCAATGTATTTACGGCTTACCTTCCCTGTTTGCTTTGTGGATCACGCTGTAACATTGGGGTGCGGTTACACTTTAAATCATCATTTTATATGAATAATGTGATTATTCGTTAGAAGAGTTAAAACGTTTCTCTAGAGCAACATTTTGTAGATACAAATAAATAGTAAGAATTTCTAATAGTATAGTGTGTGTTGCTTCGTCAGGCAAACACAAAATGTAAGAATACCACTGTGTGTAACCAATATAGCGAAACTAGATGATATGCGTCCTAGTTTCAAACAGCCATTAGTTCTAAACACCGCCCTCTTCGCATCATAAAAGTTGACAATTTGCTGTATTTGGCATGACGAGCATTAATTGGATCCCTTCACAATGAGAAAGAGGTAAATCTTTATGATATGCTATAATTGATTTAATATGAATCAATGTGTTTCCGAATCTTGTTTGTAAACGTTCATTGAATTCTTTTTACTGAAATGGAAAAAAGGAAATCGTTTGTGATTATATTATGCAGGATTATATATTACTCTTATTTGATCATTGATTAAAACGACGTCTCTAAGTTTTATTGCGCCCCCTTTTAAACACGCGCTCATGTCTGTCAGATTTAGCACTCCTGACGCTCCACGATACTTTGTTAGTTTGACTAAAACGTTCATTAGCAAAGTATTTTATTATCCTCATTCATTTTGTCATCATACTAGTAGACCTAAGTCTCCATACAGCAGCAAAATTTGTTAACGATAATTACAGGACAGCCCTTTAACAAAAAAAAGGAGAGGAAAATAAATACCACGTACAAAAAACGTAGTTTCTAAATTCGTAAACTTGTCCTCAGTACGTACACATGAATGCACAGCGAGGCAACTTTCCACTTTTAAAGCCCGTCTGTACTAGTTTGGCCAGGGGGAATTAGACCTTCCTGCAAGGTCATTGACAGGTGGTTATGTCATCAAATCAGCTCTCAATTAACATAAGAAAAAGAGGATCATGGGGGACCAACATGCACCGATTAGGCATTGTTTGCTATATAGAGGGCAGTGGGGCAGTAGTGCAGTGGGGCTTTAAATATATGGCTTTGTACATGTACATGTAAACAAACAAACTGGTTAATCATTGTAATCATAATTGATATAATACAAAGTATGGATCACAGGAGCAGGTGCCGTCCTTCCTTACAAGTTCCTTGCGGATCGAGTTATCCAAAATTAACCTAATTGCATTTTCTTTTTTCCTTCGGGCATCCCCGCCTATTGCCTTTAATTGAGTTAGATACGGAATATCGACAGTGCAGATTATTATGCTGTAGATATCTCCTTCCCACGTGAACTTGAAATAGCATGCGGTTGACTAAACACGTTATGAATAGTCGGCATCAAAAGTTTAAAGAAGAAAGTTGACTTTTGGTAAATGGTGAAAAAAGACAATTGTAAGATTTGTCATTCATTTTATGTCAATAGGGTGAACATCACGGTGGAAATGTCACTAAGGAACGACTGCTTATCAAATATTACAAAAGTTGGTGAGAAATGGCAGACACGTTTGGACCAAACTTTTATGCCGCCAACCTGTATAGTCTCACAACATACATACATATACATGTCTCTGGTCCCATTGTACCCATTTTTTGTACAGCACGACTTGGTTAATCTCTATTCGTTGTGATGCCTCCAGAAAGTTCAGCAATTTCTTATTTATACTACAACTTTTCCCGATTATAGACAGCCTTTCTGCGTAGATAAAGTTGATGACTGCTCATGTAATGGCATTGTGAACACACACCCCCCAACAAAAATGAAAACAAGGTGGGAGAGAATTGTGTTAGCTGTAATTTAGAACAAGCGTGCATTATAGGGTTGTGGAATCATCAAAAGTCATTAAAGGAACTGAAATCTTACTAAAGAAGATGATGAAAATGTCCCAGACAAAAAAAAACCCGGACCATACATGAGGAACCATATCAGAATGTTGTTGTAAACTTTTCTTATTCATGCTATTCCATTCAGATTTTGAATATGAGTTTACCTCATGAGTAATGACTTCATGGGATAGTCCTTCTTTGATATTTCTCCTTATAGTAATAGGAGGAATGAGTGTATGTTTTTAAGAAGCGAATGATTTCAACAAAAGACAACAATAACATGGTGAGAATAGCCAAATAGAATGGAATAGTTAAAAGCTGTAACGGACATACAAGTTATTCTTTTTTATATTTAGGCTCCCCACATTTTACATTGTGTTTACCTTGCCTGTCATATCTTTATATTTCGAAACTTCGTACCTATTTTCCGTACATTATGCTTGATTTGAAATCTTTAATGTGTTTGTGTGTAATCTACGCTCATACGCTTGTATACAAAAAAAAAAAAAAGTTTTCTGATGTAAATGTGAAACAAATGAACTTCAAACTACAGACCTCAATCCTCTCTTTAAGAAGCGGAAAGACAAATGAATGTGATTCTTCATAATTTGTTTCATGGATGATAACTCCTCGGCAGACATCTAATATCCCAGAGGTATCGGAGAAACACGACATGGAAATTAGTTCACGGGACCGAAGGCGAGATGGGCAGACACTTGATAGCGCATGTCGTTCCTTTTGACTGCCGATGGATTTCCGTACCGTGATCGATGAAAATGATTAATGGAAACATTCGGGGAACGCGCGATCGGAAAGGAGAAATGATTTCGAAGCGATCAGCCGAAGTAATCGTCACAGGGCATCCTCCCGTGATAGCATTTTGATTATTTTGGTGGGAAATGGGAAATTGGGGAATTCGTTTGACAGACGGATGATTAAATGGAACTTGTCCTTGATGTAGAAGGAAAGACAAAAGGATTAGACAGCATGGAAAGAAAGACAATAACTTAGGACGCCGAAGGCTTGATGCTTAGTTTTGGGGTATAAGTAAGAAAAGTAGGGTGAAGAGGATGGGGAATAGTGCGGGAATAGGTGGGGAGGGGAGGAGGGAATGGGGAGGGGTAGGAGGGAGCGGGAGGGGTAAGAGAAGGAGGGGAGGAGAGGGGGACGAGGAAGAAGGAAAGGAGGAGGGGAGCCTGGAGGGGGAGAAGGAGGAGGGGAAAGAAAATGAGAGGAGGAGTAATAGGAACAGAGGTAGAGGTAGAAGTAGTAGTAGTAGTAGTAGTAGTAGTAGTAGTAGTAATAGTAGTAGTAGTAGTAGAAGTAGTAGTAGTAGTACTAGTAGTAATGATTTCTGCTTTAGTTATTTGAACACAAATATCTTTAGGAACATTACCATTTCATCCGCAAGTTGCCACTAGCAAAGCAAAAACATAAGCAAGAAACGCCTTAAGAAAATGAAATTACTTTGCCGGTTTTTTCTCACTACATACATTACCCAGAAAATAATAGTAACCCATCTAATCCACGTGAGGTCCTTTTTTTTTACATCCGCAATAATGACTGAACGGAGTTTTTCGGCTTGATAATTCTGAATCTTGTAGGACAATATGCGTGACGTCACAGAGCGGATCCAGCCTTGACCCGAGACATCGTATAAGGTTTGGCCTTTATCTGAAGCAAACAGACCTGTTACAAAGGTCGAAAAATATGGACGCTGATTGAACTAGTTCATGCCCCGGTCACACTGTCGAGGCCCACACAAAAAAAAGAAAAAAAAAAAGAAGAAGATTATAGTGAGAAAAAAATGACAGAGAGTAAAAACAGTTAACGATTTACCGCGAATGGCCAAGAATCCATCTGTTTGGAGTGGAATCGGTTTGTCGATGTGACTGATTTTAAACCAGTTACACCTAGGCAAAAGGGAAAAAAAAAACGCATTTATTTGTGGAAATGGTTTGTCATGTACGAGTCAGTCCAGTCTGGGGCTGAAAATGACTTTCCCTTATTGCAACCGACAAGATATGCTGAGGTATTACGTAATGCGAACATCTGGGGGCTATCATGTTCTAGTGGAACACATACATGCGTAACAGCATACTTAACGCTCCGCACGCACATACCGTGCAGACTACCTGTGCATATTTTTAACCAGACACAAAACACGGTTTCAAAATATTCCATTGACTGTAGTTCCACTTTGTTTGTGACTCGCAGACGGGACGATCGTGTGTACGTTGCCCGCTCTTCGCTGCAGTAAAACGTCGTTTATTATGTGGGATTTCATAGCTTCTCTCTATTTTCTTATGGATTTTGTTTCGTAGTACTGGCGATCTTCTAATATGAAATTGAAAGGCTAGCTCTACTTTGCATTACGAAATCTGGGACATCACAGCCGTGCTTGTATCTCAAAAACGGTAAGTCGATAAACAAACTTGGGCCAGACGACGGATTTTCCACGAATAACAAGGTCTATTTACATGGCGCGCATGTAGCACGGAAGAATATTTGAGCAGATATTAAATTAAGCAGGCTGTGTTTTAACTAATTAAACTAGTATCTCCCTTAAGAGAATATATTTATTTAGTATCATATTTTGCTTTGTTCAGGAGCTAATTTTTTTTTTCAGCAGTGACTGGCAGATAAATCAATCCAGAAGGGTTATGGATAAAACGATCAGTGGCACCCCAAATAATAGGAATCGGCATTGGAATAACAACACATAATCTAATTTATTCTTTTGTTCAGTAACACGGGCTATTTTTAACCCGTTGACTACTGAATTATCTAATTCCCATAGACTTAACACAGGGACCACCAGGTTCCAGTAAGCAATGGGTTAATAACTGCGTTGAAAAAATATTTGTTCTCCTTTTTCTTTCTTTCTTTCTTTACTTTTTTCTTTCTTCTTTTTTTTCTTCATTTTCTTTTTCTTTTTCCTTTTCTTCTAATGATTATTGATTGTCGTATTCTTACAATTTTTTTATTTTTATTTTCTAAAATACGTGACAGCCCCTCCCAAGACCCCTCCCCCCTTCCCTCATAGATCATCACTCGAATTTCCTTTTAACTTAACTTTTGGTTTGTTTGCTTTATACTGTCTTACTTTGTTTTTGTTCTGTAAGTTTTTCAATTATTATAATTTGTTCCTTGTTTTTCTTTAAAAAGTATGACATTCTTAAACAAATTGATTAAGAATATTCAATTTACACAACTATTTGATGACATCTTTAAGTTGATTTCGTGGTCAGTGTTGTTTCCTTCGGTCAAGTCCATACAGGTTATGACTGCATAAGGTTACCAGGAGTCCTGATTAAAGTTGGGTCCAGTCATTCGAAAAGTAGGACGGGAAGTTATAGAGTTCGGTCATGCACGAACGGGTTAAAGAGCGAAAGCTCTGCTAGATCATTCTATTCCTAACACAATGCCATAACCAATTATGATTGATTTTTAATTCGATAATTACGTGAATTCAAACCTCCCACATCGGTCAATTAAATATACCCCTACTTGAATTGATTTTGTAGAATGCAAATAGATTTAACCTACATCTTGGCTAAAGGTTAGGTAGTGTGTCCGTCCTGGTTGCAGTGGCATTTGGATTGAACATAACTCAAAAAGCAATTGCGGTTCTAGAAGAATATACAGTGAAACCTGTCTATAAAGACCAGCCAAGGGAGACAAGAAAAGTGGTCTGTATAGGAAGGTGGTCTTTATGTACAGGTTCCTTTAATACAAGCTTTAATGATAAACCATTTTCAAGGGAAACAAAAAAGGTGGTCTTTGTAGACAGGTGGTCACTACAGCAGGTTTGACTGTAGATATATATATACACGGCAGTTGGGCCTGAAAGTTGACATACACCCGGAAAAACACAGTTTATTCACATTTTCAGAACTGCATTGATTCCTATAAATGTTTCAGGGTGATAAGTGATGTAAATACTACAGGTATATCCATTAAACAGAGATGAAACTTGGTTGTCTTCCTGAAGCGAATAGTAGGCACGAATGAATGAAGTTGTGAAAAGGTATTGACTAGATGTATTTGAACTTTCGGGCCAAAATGTATACATGTATATATTATACAGATAATCTGTGTGTGTGGGGGGGGGGGGGTGGTGGTTCTTTTGTTTGGTTTTCTATGAAGAAATGTATGTGCCTCGTTCAAATTCATACGTAATTAATAACAATTGATGGGGGCGGGCTTGAAGAACTTTCTGTTCTTCATCTGTTTTGACGAGAGAGAGAGGGGGGGGGGGGGGGGGGAGGATAGCTTCATCGTCAACTTCTTATCAACAGGTTTGCCGTTGTAAGTTGAGAGACCTAACAATTGCCGCAGTAACGTTTGGAATACTACTTCAAGTAATCATATACATTATAATTAACAGGGTATTGATTCGCTGGAGAACTCAAACGTTTGTCAAAGGCTTACTAGACATATCAGCTTCAATATAGAGACGTTATTATATGTACAGCAGGTGAATAAAATAGTTTAAAGGGGTTCTGAAAGGAAGCATGCATATTGTGAAAAAACAATAACCAGGTCAAATTGCATTTGTTATGTATCTCGAGTGTTTGTCTTAATTAAACATGTTACCCTTATCACATGTAGCATGGAGGTCGTGTTCGGGTCAAAATGCCCTTGCTGTCCCGTCCCAGGTCCCTTTATACCACTTCATGTTCAAAGGTTATTCCCCTTTACCTGGGCAAAATCGATAAATCTCTGGACTCATTTTAAGAAAATGCGACCACGCTCTTTTAGTTTTTGACACAAAATCTTGATAAGAGGGAGAGGTTTAGTTTTAAGAATTAGGTAACATATTCAAGTTTTTGAAGTCCGTGGCACATTGTGTTCACCGACATCCCACTAAAACGCATGTTAAATTGTAATACACGACTAGCAATGAGTTGTAGGGAAACTTGTATTTTTATGAAAAATTGTGTAATTATGTAGTGCCGATGAATATTGAACTTTATCAATTTGCAAATGGTGAACCCCCCTCCCCCCCCCCCCCCTCCGCCTCTTTCCGAGTACTAAATAACTGCTCCCCCAAATTCTACATGACTATTACTTGCGCACGGATTAGTTACCACGATGGTGTTGCTGTTGTCATTAGTAACAGTATCCAAGTTGTTTCTATCAAATATTCATAGCTAAATGTATCTGCCTTGAAATCATCATAGTGGAAACTCAGTCATGATCTTTTAAATGATCGCATATATTTATCAAATTTGGAGCGCCAATATATCGCTTATATAATAGCCAATAAGGCCTTAACTCTTTGAAAAAGAAGAAAAAGGGTACACGAAATGATGTTCTTCTAGCTCAAGGCAGAGGGCATACACCGTTTAATTTTAATTCTGTAACTGGAGACATTAGGAGTGATTATAGAACCCGGACGTCATTATCAACTAATAATTCACTCAACATCTCATCATTATCAACTAATTATTCACTCAATATCTCCAGTTATATAAGATTGACATGAGAGCGCCTACGTGCACATGTTACACATGAATTGATAAAATAAATAATATCCTCTAAAGACGTGACTATAATTACGTAATGTTTATCCTTGATATCATTTCCCGATCCACATTTACTAAAATGCGATATCGATCATAATGGGCGGCCAAAGCTTTCAACATATTTTGTTTCACCTAAATCAAGGTAGTGTTTTCCCTTGACGGCTTAATGAAACATTACCTCACGTCATCCGTTTCTTTACAATAGGGACTTTTCGATTTGCACGACGAGAACGTGGACTGTGACATGTGACACCCTTTAAAGGCAATAATGACGTCCTTTTAAGGGACTGGCAGTGACGTTACATTGCCTTAAAAGGATGTCACACGAGCAGTCCACGTTCTCGTCGTGCAAATCTAAAAGTCCCTAATGATAAGCAGATACGTGACTGGTGTTGTATCCTAATGAGAAATAAACGACAAGAAGAAAATCAGAATGTCATAAGACATAATGAGAGTACATTGAATCTTAAGCAGACAACATCGGACAATTATTATATAGATGATCTTTAATATCAATCGATCGGTCACACACGCGCGCGCAAGATCATATTGATTTTGAGCGCGAAGAGATAATTTTCTCTGCTGCAGATTGCGTGAAAATCGTATGTGTTCATTGATCTGTCTTACTTCAGCCTTGATGATACACTATGATTATGTATACCAGTAACATTTAACAGATTCATATATTTATGCTACTAACGTGGCAACGGCCTTGTGTGAGTCGGTGTCCGCAGTCTGCCCTACGCTTATAGCGATAATTTAGATTATAGTTTAGCTCTAGTAATATGCAATTACAATGCGAAGGATTTTAGTGACTCGGATCAATTGATACAGGTTAATTATGTATTACATATACAAGACAAAATAATTGATGTATGCCATGATGTTTAGGAGTGATCGGACTGATGAAAAATAACTTTGTCTAAGCCTTGCTGATAATCATATATGCATTGCAAACAGAAATGGATACACAACTATATATTAATAATGTGGCATGAAATTGAGGTCAAATTTTTTCAGCGATTCCTCGTTTTAGTTCTATTATATAGGCATTATTAAAAGAGCATTATTAAAAGAATAATCCTTTTTCGGGGGATATCTACTATCACATTCTCCCAAAGTAGCATAGACAAAATGACAAAATTCAACACAACTTGACCTCCTCTTCAACGCAATAATGCGATCTTTGGTTTGCTCTCGAAATTAACCTGGTCATCGGGTCACTGGTTCGAGGAAATCGCTGAGTGGTATTGCAAACATTCGTTGTCAACCGTGTAACCTAAACGACACCTGTTCATCCTAATTTGTTTCCCCGTCTATCTTTCTTCATGGTGTAGGTGCGCAATTATCAACTGTTATTGCTATAGTTCTCTGTTTGTCTATTGTCTATAATTTGACTGTGTTTTTTTTTTCTTCAAAGAAATATGTATATCATTCGGGATTATATTTCATTACCTCTATTGGAATACCCGGAAACAAAACAAACTAGTAAAACACAGGAAAGAAGGTGATTTGTGAATACCATTAATTATTATTCAGCCTTTAAATCCTCCTTATATAATCATATCGCAAGTATCGTAACAAATAGGCGAGCAAAAAGGGAGAAATACGATACGCTAACCTAATTTGTCTCCATAACTTTTGTAATAGATATTTAAAGAACGAATAGTAAACAATGTAAAATTCGTCATTATAAAAGGGATATAGGTATGATTTAAAGATTTATGAAAGTGATGGGAGATGGGGTAAGGATGGAATGATATAGAGGGGAAGAGGGTAATGAAGAAGGGGAAAATTGCGATGGAATTAAAGGGTATAGACACCATAGAAACCTGGTGGACGAAAAGGAGGCACACGGATACGTGCTTGGCCTTCAATGTGAAATA